CCATATTTTTTGCTCTATAAGATGCACTTTCCCCCCCTCAAAAGTAAGGGGAAATGTCTCTGCGTCTTATAGAGTGAATTTGTGTGTGCCCGACGCCCGGGACGCTGCCGGCCTGCCTTCACCATGTGGCACCACCTGGCCGGCACACGCTCGGCACGCGCTTCTCCACCCCCCCTTCCGGCGCAGGTGAGAGCTGTGCCGCTCAGGGGGAGCGGTGCGGAGGAGGAGGAGCTGCGGGCTTTAAGCCGCCGGCTGCATGGAGTGACAGACTGCTCACCCCCACCGCCCGGGAAGACCACCGCCGGCACGCTGTCGGCCAGGCTGCACCACGTGGTACCACCTGGCCAGCACGCGCTCGGTGCCCCCTCCTCCGGTGCAGGTGAGAGCTGTTAATCACAGGTTGGTGTGTGTTTTCAAATGGCAACCCGTCTTTTAATGAAGCCCATGGGGAAGTGATGGGGAATGTGTCTGTGATTATCAGGAAGCTTTTCATGGATCCCTCCTCTAGAAACTAGGTGCATCTTATAGAGTGAAAAATACCGTAATTCTGGAAAGTGGCTTTGTTTCTAATTGAAATATGCTATGTTTTTCCTGCGTTTATCAAAGTAATATTTGAAAACATTCTGTTTGACCTGAAATGAAAACAGTTTTCTCCACTTCCCATTGACTACATCAAAATGTAGACTAGGAACACAAATATGAAAGATGCTAATTAAGGTTGGTGGAAGGACACTCCTGTTTCATTCTGTTTATATGACAAACTATTAGAGGTGGCTTCCTACTTTAGTATTCCAATCTCCCATGATGAAGGTAGATTTTTGGATAGTTTATGACTATTTTTTGTGAAAGGATTAGGTAGGATTAATAAGCTTTGAACAATCTCCCTAAATATCTTGTAGAAGCCTATTCTTTTGATCATGCCAGGTGCTTTGAGAAAGGTGAGTGAAAGAATAATTTACACTGCTCTCTATCAGCTTCAAGGGCAAAGATCACACCTGTAGCTCCAAAGCTGGAAAATCATATCTCAGCATATGTTTGGTCTTAGAATTCTGGTGTCTTCTCAAGATAGATTACTTAGCCTTCTGCCTTTCCTTCTGAATTCACTGCTTCAATATCACACAGTAATTCAGTAATAAGCTGGCCTTTCTTAAGGGTATCAGCTTGGATGACATCTTTTGAATTTCCTTCCTGGTTTCTAAGAAATTTCCATCTTGATTCTGATTTTTGAGTACTATAAACCATTGTTTGAGTTCTTCTAAGGTGGGAAGTTCCAGCAGATCATTAACTGATTCGATTCAGTCATAATGACAATCCCTGGCTCCCTCACTCTTCACTCCTTATGCTATGTAGAGTGAAGATCAGGACCCTTAATTTACAATTTAAAACTCTTGCAAATTCTTCTAGATTCCTCCAGATTCTTTCAGATACAAAAAGTGAGCTCATCTTGCATGAGCTCATCTTGTTCATATACCCAGATAGCAAGCCTGGGTTAAATATCTGCTAGGCATGCTAACAAGTGGTTTGCTCAAACCACAATGTATCATATTTGAATGAAGTAGGAAAATTAAGTTCATTGCAAGAACAAAAGAAATGGTCTGCTTTTTTACCCTCACTTAAGGAATGCGAAAGAGGATGCAGGGGTGTGTGAATGCATGACCCACTGCTGCTTGGTTGTGTAATAACAAACGATGCTTGTCTTTGCATGGGAGCCCAGTCACAAAGTGCCTTTTTCAGGAGGATAAAGCTTGGAGGCCAGGCTGTGCTATCTTCTTTTATAAATGATTACCACGTTAACAACATTCTTCAGGAGGTGACAGTGTTTGTTGCTGGGTGCTATAAACACATTGGACATAGCAGAAATACTTGCTAAGGGTAAGTTGGTATTTCTTGGCACAGGTCTGTTTTTGTTTTGCATAGTATCTAAATGCAGTCTGCTCCTTGACCTGACTTGCTTAAGTGTCCTTGGCATTGAATTAATGCTGTATTTTTTAAATGTAGATTGTGTTTTTAAACTCAATAATTGGCAGAGTTTTCAGTGAAAGACATCACAGCAGTCATATTAGTTGTGGTCTGTTTTAAAGAATCCTGACTACTCCTGTCCATTGCTAGGATTTCTTATTTGTGCCCCCAACATCGGTCTGAGTACTAATCCAAAATCAAATCAAAGTCAATGCATATTCATTTGCCAATTTCTACCCAGATTCTGCTCCAGAATTTAAGCATTTCCCTTTCGATTAATTATGTTCATCAATCATCACTGCCTCTATAATTTCAATTCAGAATAAAATTAAGTGATACACTGTCAGGTGTACAAAATGCTGGTGTGGTGGTGGGAGGGTTGGAAGATAAGGCAGAAGTAGAGGAAAGGGGACAAGGAAGATGATTATGAATGAGAATTGGCAAGGTGTGAAAGAAAGAAATAGGCATGTTTGGGGAAGGGAAAGCTAGAACAAGAACAGGATATCATGGAGGTGGCAAGGAGCCTAGAAATAGAAAGAAGAGAAAACAGAAGCAAGTGCATAATGATCCCCCACTTCTCTCTTGGAGGAAAATTGCTGCTACCCCAAGCATTGAAGCTTAGGTGAAAAAAGCATATTTTATTTTTTCTAAGCTGATTTATTCTGTGAGGGAGCTTGAGGGGTGCACAACACATATGAAAGGGATGGTTAACCTTTCTTCTCTAACTCTGCTCTGGAAATTTGCTCACTAGACCATTAAGCTTAGAGAAAATTTAGTATTGGCACCAATGGAAGCATTTACTTCTAAGAATATTTGCCGTGCAAGGTTTCTGGGGGGGTTATTGCAGCATGTATGGAGGGTGGGGTTAACTCCTCCTTCCTCAGCAGCAGTCCTCCTTGTGTATTGCTTCCCTGCATGATAATTATGCTCAGAAAATACCTTGTATTAGCGCTGATGGAAATTCTAAACTTTGGAAATATGTTTGGTGTCCTGGGAATATACTCAGAGTTGGGGCATCATGGACCAGGCCCAGGAAAGCCATTGATTCATATCTGCATGAATTTGTATCATTTTACCATAGCAATAAATTCTAAATATGTAAATATTACACTCATTGTTTAACATACTAAAAGAATAAAGATCCTTAAATGTTGTTTCAGCAGAATATGAATGTCTGGTTGAAACACCCGTTTTTTTCCCATATACTGTCCTCTTTTCTCCCACTCCCTAATGACTTTGTGCAAAGGAAGTATATTGGTGCAATAGACAATGTTTATTGAGATAAAGATTTCTTTTGAAGAATTGATTAAATAATTGTAAGTCTTTTGAAAATAAACTATGCAAATAGTTTGCTTTCCGGATACTTTTCTTCCTTGTTTGATCACTAACAATGAAACCATATTCCATAGTAGGATTATTGTATTTCACAATGGGATGATTAATTCCATAGCAAATAATGATAAAACAAAATAATTAAAATGAGACGTCAAAGAAACAAAGAATTCAGTTGGTTTTGAAAACATGGCTTATGGGTGTAGCTACCTCAAAGGCACTTACAAGAAAGCACTGGATGTTCTGAGAATGTCAAGTATTTCATCTGAACATCAGTGATTTGTGAAGTTCTGTTAGGAAATAAATTACTCCAGTTGAACACTGCAGGGCAGAGGCAGAATTCTTCTGCAGTTTCTTAAGTACTGTTTTGAAGCTTGACATACCTGAAGAGTATTGTGTGTTTAGCACTGAACCCCAGAGATTCACTGCTTAAGTGAAATAACTAAGTTTCCATTTTGCTGTTATGTAAAGGTGCTTATTTCAGTGATATCATTAAAGTTGTCAGGCTGCATTAAAATGTGATTCTGGAAACCTCTAAATGCACAGAATGGATGTGCTTGGTTAAATCTTACTCCATTTTAGCCTTTTTGGCAAGACCCTCTGCAAGGATACTGCAGTAGGCAAAATGTTCTCCTTCAATTAAAGTATGTGAAAGAAGATACCTAGTTTGTTCAGTGACCTTTTCCTATGACACAAAATATGCACAGTTTGACATTTCTCAATAGAGAAATGCTTGTAAAGTAAAGTTAAAGATACTCATTTCAGCCACAAAAATATTTTACGCTAAAAATGGCAGTTCAGGAATCTTTTTTGAAACAACAAACCTGACTAGTGTGTTTATTAATAGAATGCAATGTGGCTACTGTTTTGCTTAATTTGTTCTTTTTAAGGCATTTGTGCTTATTTATTATTCTTCCATATTGTAAATTACACTTGCTAAGTTAAATACACATGTATACAAATCCAGCTTAACAACAAGAGAGACTTATGTGCTTGCTCCTTGGCTTGGTTTCACTGTGAATGAAGGGTATCCCCATGACAGCATCATCCTGAGCTGTTACAGCTATTTGCTGAGAGCACACAGTGATGCTACTGGTCCAGCTCAGCTATTGTGCATGCTAAGCATGCACTACACAGATAAGTCTGGAAGGGAAAAAAACCTGAAGGATCCATCTGCTCATTTCTGCTACACTGCACTGATGTAAGATTACGCTAATCTGGTTGCTTGTCAGGACAGGTTAGTGAAAGCAGGCGTGTGGGTGAGACTTAGGCTAGCCTGGTTCTATGGAAGATTGTAGGCTGTTCCTGTACATGCCATGTTAAATGTAGCAGAATGGTTTGATCATCAGCCAGCTACCTTGAGATTTCAGTCAAAAGACTTAATATTTCTAGATTAAAACTTGATCTCTCCTTTTTTTCCCTAATCCCACCCCTAAATATTCTGAAAACAAATTCAGTATTCATCATGAAGTATCAAGTGTGTGTGTGTGTGTGTGTTTGTGTGTAATATCTTGATCTATAGTCAGTCACTGCCTGCAATTATACGTCGCTTTACTTTCTGCAAGCAGGGCTTGTCCTCTGTATCTACTTGACAAAATAGCCAGTATTGTAAATTACCTGTTCTCAAGTTTTCAATATTTTGGTTTATCGGGGTGGTGGTTGTGAGAGTTGTTTTGTTACCTACTGACTGACAGTTCTTGACCTTGCAGGTTGAACATCCCATCACAGAATGCATTACCGGTTTGGACCTGGTCCAAGAAATGATCCGTGTTGCCAAGGGTTACCCTCTCAGGCACAAACAGACTGATATTCCCATCAATGGCTGGGCAGTTGAATGTCGAGTATATGCTGAGGTAAAGAACTCGAGAATATGCTGAGGGTGCACGACTGTGGAAGAAGCTGTTGTGTTAGGTATAGGAAAACGCCCAAGACTTTCTTTTCTATCAGATTGATCCATTACCTATGATTAAACTGACCAGGATGTGGGTGTATCTTTTTATTCTCTTTTTTCATTTATTCAGACATTTTTAACATGAGATGCAATTGTCCAACATATTTGGAAGAAAATAAATTGCAGTATAACTAGATAACATAGTGAATATTAATTATAATCTCAAAATAATCCTGTGTTTTGAACTGACCAACTGGGCTTTTGGATATTGATCTATTAAGATTAAAAAATCAAAATGTATGAACTATTATCTGCTTTAAGTTCAAAATGAGAAGACGAACACTTTGAACAGTTACCTTCAGTTTAGATAACGTGCATAGTTTTTAATAAAAAACAGTGATTTATTTATTTGTTTACTGTCGTTCAAACAGTGTAATATGTGTTGGTCTGGGTTCCTTTTGACTATGGTGGCGTTTTTCTTTTAGAACTCTCAGCACATCATTTAATGTCTATCTCAAATTACAGCTGCTTTACAGAGTGGTTAAAATATAAAAAATCAAGCAAATATAAGGTAGTATTGAATGATATTAGTAGTTTTGGGGCTACCATTAGCTACACTAATTCTTTGTGTCCAATATAGTTCGTTTGTGTCTGCATGTCAAGGAACTTGGATAGAGAATCTGAACACAGTAATAGAGGACAGAAACTTGGTAACATTCTGTAAACATTGGATCTTGAGTGCAGCTCCACAAGTACTTGTCTGTGAAGTTTGTGGAATTTCTTTCTGTGTTGTGCGTTTTTGTTCTCTGTCCATGCCCCTACCATTGTGTCTTCTCTGAGAAAGATTGTCCTTGGTTTTAATAAAGGCACAGCAGGAAGGTTTTAGCTTTAACAAACCTTCCATGACTTGAATGGAAGAAGCAAATTCATATCCCCACTGAAATAAATCATTCTGAAAACAAAATGTAGTTGGTCCAAAACTAAAGTGGAGGAAGATTTAGGATTCCAAGTGACTTAATCTTGTTTCCTGTTCTTTTTCTTACAAAGTTAATACCATCCTGTATTGAATTCCATTTCAGGATCCCTACAAATCTTTTGGTCTGCCCTCTGTTGGTAGATTGTCTCAGTACAAAGAGCCACTGCATGTGCCCAATGTAAGTAATTCTTTAGCTCTCTTTTTTCTCAGCTTCACAGGCACTAAGAAACCACAGATCTCATTGAGTTCAGTAGAAGTTGTAGGTGTTCAGCACTGTTTAAAACCAAACACTTTAAACTCCTTGGTAAAGAAAGAGAGAGGGGAGTTATTCTATTAGTTTCTAATATTTAGAAATAAACTATAGCAAAATAATGGACTGTTATTTGGATTATTATTTTTCTTAAGAAGGAATTATTGTGCCTTCTGCATGCTCGTTTTTGGAGGTTTGTCAGTTGCTTTGATATAATCCAGGTTTTATATCAATAGTGATTATAACTGGTAGAGCAAATAGCCAGAGAAAATATTTGTCTATCCCTGCAAAGTGTTAAATGACCCAAAGAGTTGTCTTCTTTGAGGTTTTTAAAGGCCCAAAGCCATTTAGCCCAGTTGGCGATAAATGATTAGTATATATTTCAGTGTTGTAGGATATCTGTTTAGAGTGGTTGTTTAACAACTAGTTCAAAAGGGACAAGGACATTGCTGCTCCTATGTATAATAAAGGTAGTCAAAGTAATGAGTGTGTATGTATGGTATGTTGTCGGCTTTATGAAATGACAAGCTGATACCATCTGTGAATATGATTATTTACTGTGATCACTTGCATGGAAAAAATGGTGAAAGATTACAGGCCGAATCCTATATTTGGTGATGTTATTGGATACAGGATTTATTTCACTTCTTAAATTGTTTTTGCCCATATGCTTCCTAGAGAGGACCTGACCCTTCCTTGGGCTTTAAGGCTTCATGCTGTGTTCAAAGCTTAAAAAGAGAAATACAAATTGTCAAGGTTTAGCAAGCACGATGTGATGTTGAATGGAGGATAAAAACACACACCAGTATTACAGAGAGAATGTATCTTAGGCATGTTTAATGAAACCCAAATGAACTAAGGAAGAATGTTCAGTAATTACTCTGGGGGCAGGTTGGGGTTTTTCACCATGTTGTAATAGCTAACAGGATGTCAAATATTTTGCCCTTGTAAGTTTTTGTAATTTGCAATTTTCTAAACATGCAACCTGTTGAAAGTACAAGTGATAATGGACAAACTGTACCCCCTACAGTCTTTGTCCCACCAAATCTTTCTTCAATTAATGCTGCAGCAGGAGTTTTATGTAATAACATTTGCACTTGTAAGGCATCCAGAGAAAGGAAAAAAAAAACAATTAAAACGCCTTAAATGTTCTGCTTACTGCTGTTATTTGCTTGTGCGAGTGTTGCATGTCAGCTAAATGGACCACGGAATAGATAAAGCGATTGGGTGCAAGAGAGTGCATAGCAAGCTTTGTCTATCATTATTGCTGGGAGCAATCAAATTGATGCCAGCAGGACAGTAGATGCGTTGACAGCTGTAATTATGTATCTCCATGGTGATCACTTTTGGCCTGTCAAGGAGGCCCACGAGTCCCCTCCTTTGCAAGCATTTAATCAGATTGGGCTGTCACTTGTCAGGTAGACATGGCGGGTTGGGAGTTGTACTTAGGGGAGAGGTGAATTGAAAATGAAGGGTGGGAGATGCCTGATAGATTCACGTGGTCCATCATGGTACTGAGGGAGGAAATTTTAATTATGCTGGAAGCCTAAGAGAATGATTTTGAAGATCTCATATGGAGTGGCTGGGCCTTTCCTTTTCTATTCATTCTCACCATCATGTTAAAAATAGATGAGCTTTCTTTTGCTAACATTGTTTGGACATCTTTTTCTTTTTATTGTGATTGGAAAAAGTTGAAATAAAATACTATTTTTATTATGGGATCATCTCACAATGTAAAAAAGGCCTCTTTGATCCAAAAAGTTGTATAATATAGTGGAAAATATTGTTTTTTTAAAATACACTATTAGTTCCTTATTTTCAACATTCAGAGGTCTTTATATGGTCAGAACATATTCAGGCTTGCATGAACACCAAGATTGGCAGAAGTATAAAAATCTTTAGGGGGAAAAGCCCCAAAGAGGAAAATAACCTGGAATAGCCCACTGAGTACTGAGCATGATCAGTGGCCATGGGATGCTGACTCATTGTTGGGGAAAATGTTGAAAACCTGTTTTGAGGATGAATGGAATGGAGCGTCATAGAGGATGTTGTGGCTGGCTGACTGGAAAACTGTAACAAAGCCTACCCTGGTTCCATTCAGATAGGACTTTAAGTGTCATTAACTTTCGCCAGCATGAAACTGGCCAGGAATTCTGGGAATTGTAGACCAAAAATGGAGTACCCCTGGTTGCAGAAGACCTCCTCAGTGCAGTCTCACTTATCAGAACATAATAAGGCAATATTGAGATGTGTATGTACCGTTCTGTTTGAGTTTACTTTTGATATAGCAGGATTGATATTTGTCAAGAAGACTTTTGATATGTAATGCTTGATTTATATTTATTTATTTAGACAAAGACTGTGAGTAATGAAAGGAAGAGAAGTAAGGTGCTGGAATAGGCATAAATGATTCTTGTTATGCTTATTGTTTCTAAGTATTTTCTTTTATTTTATGAAAGCTTAATGTAGCCTGTTTACTGTTACAGCTAAGCCCTGGCATGCATGAAGTAATAACAGGAAAGATCACAGAAGACAAGCATTTGCAGAGTATCTTTGCTTTACATGTGACTACTTACTCACATTTTCTACACATCTGGCGTTAAGTGAAAATGCTTGAGTCACAAGACCTCTTGGTTTTTGATGCTTGTGTATGTGATGTAGAACTCATTATTTGGTGGTTATGCAAGGCAGTTGCCATTAGGCATATTTATACCTTCCCTCACAAGTTATGCTTCAGTTGTAGAGATCCATGTACGCAGGAGGCCTGCTTTAATGTACAGTATTGATCTTCATGGGTGAGAGGAAACTTAAACACAAATGCATTAAGAAACACTCAGACATCCCTTTTATCATTCAGTCAAATAGCCAGTGACTACTTTTATAACTTATTATTAGTATTATTTGATTGATATTCCACATGAAATTAGTGTCAATGGCTTTCTATGTGGATTATGGAATACCAATAAAAACAACATCTTATAAAAACATAAATATGTAAAAAATCACAGGATGCCACTGAGATGTCAGCAATAGATTAAAATAATATATAAATGTAATACACTACTATCAAAATTGCACAATGTAAAATCAAAATTTTAAAATCAATTATTAAAATTCCTGGAGAATAGGATCGTTTTTGCCTGGATCCAAAAAGAATGTAATGTTGGTGCCAAGTGAACTGCTCTTGGAAGGCTGTTCCATACATGGGATGCAGCCACTGGGAAGCCCTCTTCTAATTGCCACCCTCCTTGCCTCCTTGGAGGAAAGCTTTCAGAAGGACCTCCTCACTCGATCTTAGGGACCAGGTAGATACATATGGAAGCAGGCACTCCTTCAGGTATTCAGGTCCCAAGCTGTTTAGGGCTTTACATGTTAGCACAAGCACCTTAAATTGGGCCTGGAACTCAACTGGTAACTTGTGCGAACCATATAATATCTAGGTTATATGGGCGTATGGACTTGCCTGTGCCAGCAGTCATGCTGCTCTGTTTTGTTCCAGTTTCTGGACTGTTTTCAAGGGCTGCCCCACAGAGAGCATGTCAACAATAGTCAAGAGGTTACCAGAGCGTAAATGACTTAAAACCATTGCCTTGCATGTAGAATACAACAGCCATATTTAAGAGTGTAATAATAGCCATTCAAAAATAGTTGACTGGACATAATTGCCTATAGTTCAGACACATGGTGATATTACCTACAGTTTGCTCTGTTCTAATGATATGTTTGCTGAAGAAGAAAATATTTAAAATACTGTCCTAATGGTTTGGTTTTAAGCAGAATGTAGTGGTTTTATGTATCCTAACTGTGGAAAACTGCCTCTAATGGACCTATGCCAGGAAATATGAGAGGGCCATGACCTGACCTGCACTAAAAATACCATCATCCTGAATCATTGTCCATGCTGGGTGGATCTGAAAATCTGGAGAACATCAGACTGAAGAAGCTTCTTTTATAACGTTCACCTCATTTACTGGACAGAATGAGTTCATTAGTGCTCAAGCTATATAATAGGAATATGCCGCATTTGAATACATGTTCTCAGGATTTGCTTTGCAAGTGCATTCACTAAAAGACAAATGCAGAATATATATATTGTAGCATAAAAACAAAATAATCAAGGCCTGATTTTCATTGAACTGGTAGACCTCCCTTGACTGTGTTGTTAAGCTTTCATTAACAACAGATTATCTTAAACTCTCCAGGTTTGCATCTGTTTGCCTGTAAATTGTAATTTCTATATGAATTGCAAGTTCATATAAAATGCAAACAGTGGGTACCAGTTTGTTGTAGGATCTTTGAGTCTTAAACATAATACAAAGTTAATCTTGTATTAAGGAATTATGCCTGTTTCTGTTTGGATTTACCAGGCTTGTTTTGGATGTTCATTTACTGAAAATTTTGGGGAAAGAAGGTTGATTGTGAATATTATGTTGGCACTGTAAGGCTGAATATGTTCCCATCTCTGCTTATTTTACTCAGACATCTTTCTGGATTTCAATTTTTGGCAGTGAAGATGATGCAGGACTTAAACACCACGTAGTCAGTCCCTTTCTTACTATGTTGCTTATTATGAACTTTCAGGGTTTCAAGTTTTTCCCCTTTTGAGAAATGGGGCTAACTAAAACAATCATTTTGATAGCTGAGTATCTCTAAGGCATCCTGACATATTTTTAATAAAAGTGCTTGACAGCTGCCATTATAGTTGCATTAATGAACTTGCAATCATACTATTGTAAAGGCACAGTTTATCGTTTTCATACCCCCAAAAAATGTGATGCGGTTTTCATTGCAGGGAATAAAGCCTATTAGGACATGTCATTTGGATAATAAAGTCATCAGTGTGACCTCATGTGGATATTGTAGACAAGAGGTTCTACATCTGGCCCCTTGATAATTGCCTAAATTAAAATCTAAAAGCCTAACAGCCGTTGGGTTGACCTCTTTCTGTCTTGTAGCAGACAGATGAGCTGCTGTTTCATTGCAAGGGTTTCTTCCCCCAGGTGAAGATTGAAGGGAGTTTATAAGACCCTTCTCCCGCTCCCTGCCAAACCTGAACATAGTATTTCATATCAGACCTCTTCCACTCCAGCAGGTCCCATTTGGCTTTTTTTCCTTAAGATTGTCAGATAGTATTAAATGCTCTGAATTTTTGTTTGTGTTGTCAACTGTGTGCTTTATGAATCTTAAAAGCCACTAGCAAACAAATATTTCTTTAGAAATTAGTGAGTATGTATTTTTATATGGATAATCTCAGTACCTCTCTAGCAAAAATCAAGCTAGGAGATGAAAACCACGATCACAGTAAAAGTAAGTTTTGTTGGGTAACAGCTATCAGGTTCTTCAAAGACATACTTGAATGTGTGTTTTGTCCCCTCCTCGTCCACAAGAATTGCAGAATCAGAACTTTAATACTAGCAGTATACATATAAAGCAAAGCAATGGAAAAAGCTGTGTAAACATTGACATCTCAGGGGAATAGCATAATCAGAAGAAAAATATGCTACAGATGAGGGTGAGGCAGTAAAGGAAAGTTTTGTAGACATGAAAGCTAGAGGCTCCATTCTATTATGAAGCTGATAAGAAGATTGTATAGCGTCTGCTGAACATGCCATCGTATCCTTTCAAGAATAGAAGAGTCCTGGGTATAGTAGGGCATAAATGATATGGTTACAGAACATATCCATTTTTGATGTATATTAGTTCCATGTGTAGTTACATTTGCATGTGGTGAGTTTGAATAAATCCCATACTGAGAATTCCAGATCTTGGAATTGCAAAACACAGCGAACACAAGCTACTGTATTTTTTTTGCAAAATGGATTACGATGAATTGTACTATGAGGAGAAAGATGAATGCTAGTGTATAAAGACATCTTGTCCATAACAACATTGTTTTGCCTCAATCTTCTTTAGGTCCGTATTGACAGTGGCATAGATCAAGGAAGTGAAATCAGCATCTATTATGATCCCATGATTTCAAAAGTGAGTTAACTTTTTAATCCAGTAAAAACTAATACTAGTTTTTTAATGGGTGTGACAGTATTGCAGAGTAGAATGGCTTCATAGAAAACTTAAAAAGAATAATTTTTATGTGTTATTTATGTTTCATTTGAAGTTCAGTTAGTTCAATGGGACATTCCTCAGGAGTTTCTTTTGTTCTCATTTGTTTGGTGACATTATAATGTTTCAGTAAAATGTGTGCATCAGACTTCAAGGATAAAATAGTTTCAGGAATGCTATAATTACCAGATGTATAATTTGCTATTATTATTATTATTATTATTATTATTATTATTATTATTATTATTTTTGGTGAGGCAAAGTAAGCCTTCAAAATGCAAGTAAATGTCACCAAACAAATCATTAAAAGTATAAAATGCATGCTACTTTTATGTAATCATACATTCTTTTTCATTTATCAAGCTTAAACTAGCTCCATTCAGATTATGATATCTCCATTAATTAAACTGAGATAAACATTTTCCCCCTTTGTCCCTCCCTTCATGCAAGCCGTGATAAAGGGCAGAATTTGCTGTGAGTTTCCCATTTTGTCCAAATGGGAAAAGTATAGCAGTTTATGAATAAGTCAGGATTTTAAAGTACAGTGGTACCTTGGCTCACGAAATTAATCCATTCCATGACTCTGATCGCAACCCAAATTGGTCATAAGCCAAGTCAAATTTCCCCATAAGGTTCAGTGTAAATAAGGTTAATCCATTCTGTAACTATTTTTTTAAATCACAAAAATTTGAAGCAAAGTGACAAAGAACAACGAAGATCGTGGCTATCTCCCCCCCATGTACAACTGCAATCACGCCCGTGTTCCCTGCATGAGTGCGACCGCGATCGCGGCCATCGACGGGCATGATTGCGGTTGCGCTTGCCCTGATGTGGAGTTCATGACCTGAGGCAAAATATTTCTGAAATTTCTGTTCGCGACCCCATTTGGTCATCCCGTCTTCCCTACATGAGCGCAATTGCGATCGCAGCCATCCCCTCCCCCCTCTCCGAGCACATACAGCCATCTTCCCTGCATGAGCACGATTGCGGCCATCTTTCCTGTCGCAGACAGCCCTGTGGTCACTTGCTGTGAAGCTTACTGAATAATGGCTCCAAAGAAAGTGCAGAGCAAGCACAGTGGTAAAACGCATGTGCAGATCAGTAATGAAGGTGACCAGAATGTGCAGACCAAGAATGGTAAGAAGAAGGTTTCGAAGAAAATAACCATTGAACTGAAGAAGGAAATTGTAGAAAAGCATGAGTCTGGTATTCGTGTGACTGATCTGGCCTCTGAGTGCAAGATGGCAAAGTCGACGATCTCGACTATTTTAAAGAGTAAAGATCCCATCAAAGGAGCTGATGTGGCAAAAGGAGTAACGCTGTTTGGCAGGCGGAGGACTCAAGTGCTGGAAGAGGTGGAAAAACTCTTTTGTTAGTGTGGTTGAATGAGTAGTCAGGGAATTGCACAGTGATTTACTGCATAAAAGCCCCTCTACAAGTGCAGCAAGTGTTGAATTTAAAGCCAGTAGTGGGTCGTTTGATAATTTCCGCAAGAGAAGTGGCATCCACGGTGTGACCAGACATGGTGAGGCTTCCAGTTCTGACAAGGCTGCTGCAGAAGCCTCCAAGAAAGAATTTGCGGAATTCATGAAGGCAGAAGGATACGTCACTCAACAAGTGTTCAACTGCAATGAAACAGGACTCTTCTGGAAGAAGATGCCGAACAGAACCTACATCATGCAGGAGGAAAAGGCACTGCCGGGGCACAAGCCCATGAAGGGCAGATTGACCCTTTTGCTGTGTGCGAATGCAAGTGCCAATCTGAAGATTAAGCCACTACTGGTGTACCATTCCCAGACCTCTCGTGCATTCAAGGAACAGAATGTGAACAAGGCCAGACTGCCTGTCATGTGGAGAGCCAATCCGAGGGCTTGGGTGACAAGGCACGTGTTCATGGAACGGCTGCACAAAGTGTTCGCATCCACCATTAAGAAATATCTTTCTGACAACCAGCTGCCTGAAAGGTACCTTCTTCTGATGGACAATGCCCCGGCACACCCTCCAGCCTTGGTGGATGATATGGACGCTGAGTATGACTTCATAAAAGTCAATTTCCTCCCCCTGCAACACGACACCTCTTCTGCAGCCCATGGACCAGCAGGTGATCTGTACAGAAAGGTGCTCTTCAGCAGGTGTTTTAATGTCATTGAAGAGACGTCCTTGACTCTGAAAGAGTTCTGGAAGAAACATTTCAATGTCCTCCACTGCATCAACCTCATTGACAAAGCCTGGGAAAATGTCATGTACCAGCCCTTAAACTTAGCCTGGAGGAAACTGTGGCCAGAATGTGTCACTGACTGTGACTTTGAAGGGTCTGATGCACAGGTAGTGGAGTAGATTGTGTCCCTGGGCAAGAGTATGGGTCTGGACATCAGTGGTGCAGACAAAGAGGAGCTTGTTCAGGACCATAAGGAGGAACTGACGACGGAAGAACTTGCCGAACTCCAGAGTGAGCAGCAGAAGGCACTTGTTGAGGAGCATTCCACTGAGGAAAAGGAAGACAGGGAGGAGGTTAGCAGTGATGTGATACAATCCATTATGGAAAAATGGAATGAGTGCCAGAATTTCTTTGAGAAGCACCACCCCAACATAACTGTAATGAACAGAGTGTTGAATCTGATGAATGATAATGTGGTCTATCATTTCCGGAGGGTTATGCAGTGCAGGAAAAAACAAGTGACATTAGACAGATTTTTCACCAAAATTGACCCTGCAGCTAAGAGACAAAGAAGAGAGAAAACTTCTGAAGGAGAACTCCCCGATGTCCTTATGGAGGGGGGCTCCAAACAATAACCTCCCCACCAACTAGGTTAGTGTTCTCTATCGTACTGTACAGTACTTTGTCACTTTGTTTCAAATGTTTGTGATTAAAAAGTTACAGAACCGATTAACCTTATTTACATTGAATCTTATGGGGAAATCTGACTTGGCTCGCGACCAGTTTGGCTCATGACCAGAGTCCTGGAATGGATTAAGTTGGTGAGCCAAGGTATCACTGTAATTGCTGTTTCCTCTGCAATCATTCTGATAGTGAGCCGTCGATCATGGCTGAGAGCAGACCTCACTGCATCCACATTCTATTCCTTTTTTGATGAAGAAGGGAATCCTGATCACTGTTCATCTTCAACACCTTTTCGTCCTTCCTTGAAGGCCTTGTGCCATCAGTACACTTGTGCAGATGATAGTGCAGCTTCTCCATAAACTTTTCTCACCATTTCCACAGTTTCTGATGCACTTTTATCCAATTTCATATAAAATTTTATTGCATACCACTGTTCCAAACTCGTTTGCATTATTCTTAATACGAGGCACTTGAACAGGGTGTCACAAAAAAGAATGTCTTGACTCTGACAGGGCTGGGATGCAACTGATCAGTGTTCTAATGTATACCTGGCACCCCACCCCAAGTGACCTTCGGCAGCTTCTCCCTTCACAGAGCCTTCCTCGAGAGTAGGAACTTCATTCTCAATACTTTCTGGACATACCTTGTTGTATGGGTAATGTTCATACCTTGAATTACTAACCCAAAGTATGATAATCTGAGCTGGGCTACTGAGTGTGTTTGGACATAATGCTAAGTATCCAAAAACAGTCAGTGATAAGTACGCTTTCCCTTCCCTTTTCCTCCTCCAGCATGGCCATAAAGAGATTAGAAACATTAATTTCCATTTTCAGTCAAGCTTAGTTTAAGCATGTTAGGTTGATTTTATATATAGTCCGTTGAAAAAAGTCAGTTTATTAAACTGTGGGTTGAATTTGCATTTAGAATAGTGTGGATATCACAACAAGTTGTGATTACTATAAAACATAAGCGAATGATTTATAGCAATGCTGGAGGATGGATGGATGAAACACTCATATGAAATCAAGTCTGACTGTGCCTCTTTCCCATAATGCAAAACCATGGTTTGAGTTGTGCTTATATGAGGCCACTATGATGTTATACATCAAATTAAGAAAACAGTGTAGAAGATTCTGGAAGAATTCTTTCTTCCTTGTGATGCTTGTCATATTATTGACTGGAAATGATAAGTAATCAAGAATTTGAACTAAAGTGAACCCACCTACTATCTGTGCATAAGTGAGTCTGTGGTCAGAGGACATGTGAATAAATTTGACAATACATATAGCTTCAACTAGAAAACTTGCCAGTTATTTGCACATCAAGGCAGCAGTCTTTCTTCTCCACTCCATAAATTTGCAGTTCAAACAGCCAAATTGTATACATCTGCAAAGTATTCTTCTCAAGAGGCATGAAATGCATACAAGCCAAGGTTATGCTTATATTGTTAGATTCATCATTTGCAGTAGGCATATACAGGACATGGTGAATGTGTGCTACCTTGCTCACCTCAGAAGATGATACTTGATTAAACATTTGGGACTTCTAGCTTGGTAAGAAATGAACTGCTGAATAGAGGAGCACTTATTAATAGTCTTTGAGAAAATATGATAATCTGCTTTGGGTAAGCAGCATGTTCAAGATAAAAAAGAATTAATATTTTGACAGTGGTAAACCTTATTTTTAGATTTTTTCTCTTTTCTCTGTACTTTAGTTGATCACCTATGGATCTAATAGAGCTGAAGCTTTGCAAAAAATGGAAGAGGCTTTGGATAATTATGTTATAAGAGGTAACTATAAGAACATGGGATGTTAATGGGGTAGTCCATGAAAATGTAATAACTGGAAAATTCAAGGAAAAATTAGGCATGTGGAAGGGTTTTAACACATTCCATTGGGTGAATTCCATGACATTTACTAATCTACTAAATTTCATTCTCAAAATTAAAATACCTTCAAAGTAATAAGATGTACATTTTCCTGAGCAAATATTATATTATGAATGTGCAAAATACAGGCAGTCCCCAAGTTCTCTACATCCAAGTTATGAACAACCTGTACTTACGAACAAACTACCATAAAGCCTATTTATTTAAAAAAAATACTGCAGAAAATCATCATCACCATGAGAGAAAAATAGTGAAAAGGGAGAGAGGGAATGTCTCCAAAGAAACACCACACAGAGAGAGGAAGCAGCAGGGGAGAAAGGGAAACCTCCAAAGCATGCCTTCCTGCCCTGCCCATCTGGAGAGGGAATCACTGCAGCATTTACTTGCTACAAAGTGGAGGCACTGGTGAGTTTGAGTGGGGAGGGAGCCTAGAGACATTGCATGGGGATTCTGTACCCCAACTCGTGCACATGTGGAGGGCCAACTATACGTGACCTGGCTTACATACAAATTTGACTTAAAGATAGTTTTCCATTTTCTCAGGAATGGAACTCAATAATAACCCTGGGATGTCTATAACTACACTGTAGACCAGCTATCCAATATTGAAGAGGTTAGCTCAAATCATTAAGGGAAACTACATCTCTGATTTCCCCATCTCTGGCATTTCTGATTTCTTGGTCTAGAATTTCTTGTTCTCAAAGTTCTGTTCTTCATTTTTTTTAACTTCCTGTCTTATAAACATTGTGTTTTTTCTTACCTGTCTTTTTATTCACTCTTCTTTGCTTTACAATTTAGTTTTTAGCACACCTAATGTTGTCAAATTTCCATCAGGAAACTATGCGTTCATCACATCTGGAAAGAGCTGTTGCTCTATCGAGACAGTAGTTTGAACACTTGAGAGTAGCACTTTCTAATAAAAAATGTATAGAGAATGCTGGCATGCTTTGGCAAACTGCATGGTTTGTGCTTTTGCTGACCACATACAAAAACAATGGTAATGTCTGTGGTGCTTAGTAAAGACTGACTGTTACACTAAATTGTGTGTTCTGATGGCTTTTTAGCAAATCAGGTGTTATATAAATTTTATTAAAAGGTACATTAATAAGATTAGTTAACTTTTTATTTAACACTACTTTTATTAAGAATGATAAAAAGCGCATTTTTCTCCTTTAATTTTAATGCACATGTATTACTGTTTATATATGAGTTGGTAATGACTATATGATAAGATAATATTTAGAAATAGAATCTCAGTGGAGTGGTTTAGTTTTCCTTATTTCCTAAAATAAGTTGTCTGCTTTAAGTTTACTCTTCTCCATTACATGTAACTGTGTAATTCCAACACTGCAGGGTTTCCAGTTTCTTGACTTTTTCCACCTAACCCCCATTGCTAAAATCCAATAAATCAGCATATTAAAAGAAAGAAATATAGAATGCTTCTCCTCCGCTTTACTACTATTTATGTGACCTTTTCTTTGCAGAAGTAAGAGCATAGAACTTGAGAGCTTTAGCACATGTATTTTTCCAAAGATATCTACCCAACTCTTTAAAAATCTTGAGACTTAGTGAAATTGAATGTCTTTAAAAACATGTAGTATTTGGCTAACAACAATAACAGCTATAAAACTGTATTTTGAGTGCTAGTACAAGACGTATAGTTGGCCTGATCCTTGTACACATGGATGTTCAGATGGCACACACAAAGTTTTGGCACATGTTTAACAAGTTCTTTAGTCACTGCAATGTTGACATCAATTTCTTATACATGTTCACATCACATGTCATCAGGTAGCCCTGACATTGCAATGAGACGCTGCTTCTGTGTGCTGATACCCTTAATATATTCAGGGCATTATTTAAGTATTTTCTTTTAGACAAATTTATCACATGACACATTTCATATAATGTTCACTGTACTGAATAATGAACTGTTTTACACACTGTTTTAGTGTGAATTAAATGGACATTCCTCATACAAATTTAATTTGAAGCTACTTCTTTACAGCACAATTCTAAGAATATTTATTAAAAATAAATTCCCATAAATTTACTGGGAACTATTTCTAAGTATACATTCATATAATTGTAAAGGTCTGAATGAAGGCATGTAATGGAAAACAGAAATTTTTTCGAAGCCTGGTGGTATTTTACATAGTTAAAATATTGCTTATGCAACAACCTTCCAATTTCCCCAAATTTAGATTGACTAAGGTTCAGGAGAATTCAGAACACTGAAAAGAACTAAGTACAAGTACAACATCCATTGGTCTGTTTCCTAGGAGTACTTTCCAAAGAAATAATGAGCAAGAGATTACATTATTAAATGTTCAGTTTTAGTGTGGGTTGTTAAACCTGTATTTAAGTATATTTTAACTTTTTTTTTTGCATAAATGACTTTATGCAAAGTCATGCAAATGCAGGACATTATGCAGCCCACCAGTCATTTGGATGATTACCACTAATGGAAGAGAATGGATATTTAAGCTTTTTTTCTTCCATGTATGTAAGGCAGAATCGTACCTTTTTGTTTTTCCTTGGCATCTGCATTGAATTTTTCCTTTAACAAAAATGATTTTGAAAGTTCAGTATACTTTATGAATATTTCTGGTTGTATATACCTTTGTATTGTTTAGTGCTCAAAGTAGGTAGATACTTCAGAGTATTCTTTATATTTTCCTTTAAATCTCCAGTTAAGGCAATGTGTACCTTTACAGTTGAAATAATGTATTTCTTGGAAAGTTTTCTTTTGGATATTGAGTTTCTGAGTTTTTTTTAAAAAGGGAATGGAATACAGTATGTCTGTGTATACGTATGTGAGGCAGTGGGGTAGAGTGGTAACAGCAGGTGATTGCTTTGGGAATTGTGGTCTATTGTTCCACTGCTAATGTATTACTAAAGATTCCATAACCTTGCTCTCATTCATTTAGAGCAACTATGAGGTACTAGGGGTATTCAGTACCAGCAACAAGTTTGGTAGACAGTTGTCATCAGCATTTCTGTACCATTTCAGATGACATTAGGCCAAGATCTCATGACTGGAAAAACTGGAAAAAAGGTATTTTTCATGATTCCCACAGAGTATCATCATTCTAGGCCTTGGAAGACCATTAGTGCCTCGGATGAACACTTCCTGTGAAATTCTGTGAGATACTAGGTGTTGGCCATTCACCTGCTCGTGTTGGGAAAAGCTTGTGTTTAGTTATCAGTATATAGATTAAAAGAAAACAGGAAACTGCTTCTGCAGTTAGGAAGTAGATATCCCAGTTTGCAGATATTACAGCAACAGCAACAAAGCATGGGACGGTTGAATGTTGATTTATGCAAGCCATACAGTACCTGGGTTTGGATAACAGTAGGCCATGCCCAGGCATGTAATTAGGCAAATGGTGTCTGGCACACATAAACTTATATAAGTTGTAGTGAGTGGGATGGTGTAGCTTGGTGTCCTTTAACAGCAGGGGTCTGGACTTGATGGCCTTCAAGGCCCCTTCCAACTCTAGTATTCTATGATTGTTTTATGTAGGTCATTATAAATCAAGACCGTCTAAAGAGGTGGCACAGTCTGTACTATATTCGGTCATCTGTTACTGTGTCTATTACACGTCCTTGTTTTCTCTCTCTCTCTCAGCATTAGCTAAGTCTGGGTACATCATGGTATCAGATGCTGGTTATTAATGACACATGTATCCTGTCTTTCAATACTTGCCATTAAAAATAGTGTGTCAGGTATAAGGACATGGGATAATAATACTGAATTTGAAATGAACATGTAACATTCAAAGCTGGCACTTTGGGACTAAGTGGATAAGCATGGAAAATTTGCAAAAAATCTTAGCAGGAAAGTATAGCAGAACTTGTAGCAGAAAAAAATGGAGAAGAATTTATGACAAGTGGACACGACTTCAGGTAATGATTTGAACCCAGATCTTACTGACCCTAGTGTATTCCCATGCAGTTGCAAGTACTACTGAATTGTAGCCAAAACTTAAGACCATTTTAGTATTTCAAAAGGAGTAGAATAAGTTCATAGTTTTTCCACTAGTGATCCTTACAGAAATGTCTTCATTTGATCAGCTTGGAACACAAACTCTGGTTGAAATCAAAGTAAGCCCTTTCTTTCTTTCAGACTCTAATCAATCACAAAGGTTAGAACAAAAGCCATACTGAAAACAATTGGGGTGCAATTCAGGAATTATTATTAGAAAGAACCAGGAAGAAAAGAACAAGAGAAGACAAAAACAGAAATTTCAAAGCACAGAAGCCCAGGGGGCGTTGAAGATTTACAGTAGGGAGAAAGGAAAAGAGATATAAAAAAAGACTGAACCTGACCCAGGCTAGACTAATGGAAACAAAGAGAGCTTGTGGTAGCAGGAGCAGTGTGGGAAGTACCAGAAAATGGTTTGGGAGGTGGCAGAATGGCAGAAGAAACAACTGAAGAGAACCCCCCCCCCCATTTTTCTTTAATTGCACATCCGTCATTATGAATCTGTAGTTTTATAGGGAACCCCCCCTCCCAAATGTTTCTTTGTCACAAGATAAAAGTTGTAACAGCAGATAGGAGTCAACACTAAATGATCTGCCAAAATGTCAACCATTGGATACCAAGGCTGGAATCCTAAAGACACTAACTGGAGAGTTAGTTCCCAAGGCAGCACTATGGAACTGCTGGCTGCACCATTGAAAACACTTTCTGCAGATGGTAGAGACCATTTGCACTGGTGCTGCAGGAGAGATAAAAATGTCAATCCCTTCTTCACTGAATCCTCAATCTGACTTAGGGAGCAGGGCAACCTGGGGCAGGGGTGCAATTGCTGTTAACAACAGCAACAACAACAACAGAAAGGAAGGAGGGAAAGGAGGAGAGGGGAGAGGAGGGAAAAAGTGCTCAGGAGGCATGT